CACTATCCAGGGTTCTTGTATTAGGGCCACGTCCACATCTTCCTCACCCATGAAGAGCAGCAGATCCTCCGATGCTGCCCTGCAGTGATGAAGATTAATCTGCACCACCTTTAGGCTTTTCGGATTCTCTTTCAGCATCGGGGATGATCACCCTGAGGTGACCGATGCCATATCTTATTTGGCCGGCTTTGCGACGAAGGATCTGCAAGGATTGTGGACCGATCTTGATCCAAAGGTCCTTGCCGTTACCCTTGTCGCGAGCGCGGCCTCGGACAATCGTCCAGTCGTCAGGGATGACATCCACGTTCTGACATTTGATTAGGGCTAGTGAGGTCTCGTCCTCCACGAGGGGGGGCGGGATCCACACTCGCACTGTCGTACGGGATGGCACCTCTGAGAGCGGAACAACTTCTAGTCGTGCGTTGGCCCAAAGTTCATCTTGGTTGCGGACGCAGTTTGTTAGGAAGTCTAACGACTCCTTGTTACCGCATCCAACAACTTTGACTCCCTTCTGCCACTTGGCTCCATCAAACATACCAATGTTGTTGTTTTTGGTACGCTGGATTTCGCCAAGTAGTGCCCTCATGATCTTTTCCTCCAGGAGCAACAATTTGTCCGTCGGAATCTTTCCTTCCGGGTGATTCCGGTCTATGATTGCTACCTGGAGCTCTGGTGCTGAGCATAAGGTTGATGAAGTTTTCACCCGCTTCTGCTCAGGCTGTATCTTCTTGTCGCCAGACAGTTGTCTCTTCGGAGTGCGTGCAACCCGGTCCCCTACCACCGGAGGCAATAGCAGCTGCCTACGTCGAGGCCTTCTCCCCGTCAAGCCGTGGGAACACTGGCCGTATGGTTAAGTAAGCTTTGTAGAGGAACGTCGGCTTTTGATTGTGTTACCATAAGACCTTCAGGCCGGCATTGTATCTTATACTCCAACACTTTTTCGTAGGCAGGATAAATGTTACAGTTTCGTGAATTGTTCAAGTCTCTCATATTAACATATTGTTGTTTTGTAAAATTATTTTCCAATATAAAAAGCAATGCTTCTGCAGGGGTAAGTGGAGTTGGTTTTTTATCAGCAGAAACTATTAGTTTTCTCACTTCTTTAGCTTTTGATGGAGAACTAGCTGTATGCTTCAAGACAAAATTTAAATCGTGTTCTTTCGCAGCATGGGCTGACATTGAAGCAGCATGAAGCAATAACCTGGAATCATTTTCCTGTGTTGATAATACTTTGGAAGCGAGTTGTCGTTGTATACGCTCACTTCCATCGCTGTATTTGAGATGAGGACGACCCTTTTTGCGTTCACAATTATTTTTCGACAGTTTAAAAAAAGTTGTACCAGACAACCACAAGCTTTCCTTTTTCTTAAATCGGTCGAAACATCTTTTGTTTTTGATCCATTTTTGTTTAATTTTAGCACAAATGTTATCTATTTGCTTCTTGACAAATGTTTTGCAGTCTTCATCACCACTTCAATTAAATTGGTAAATTGGGGCAGAAGATTTTTTCACGATATGAAAGCTCACATCTTGACCTATCTACAGATACAAATAACTTTGCGAATGAACTCGAATGAAGACGGTTCTATTCCAATAAATACAGACGCCACCACCAAAACGTCACTACAAACACGACACACTTTAACGCAGATTTTCATCAAACACAACACTTATTTAGAAAATAATTAGAACATATTGTTATACATACCTTGAGAAGTAATTTCCATTTTTTAGATATTTGTATTATATCAACTATTATTAAAAAAACATATGTTTCTATTTCACTATTTTGAAGTAAATCAACAGAAAACGAAGATGAAAAAATAACTGTTGTTTTGACAGCTTCGTTATAAAAACAGAGATGCCACCTGGTCATAATTTTTTCGTTTTCGGGTATTCTAAATAGTTTCCTACAAAGTGCAATTATTAGTTTTAACAAAAACATAACTTTAAAAATGGACTTTCTGCCGCTGAAACCGGTCATTTCAACATGTGGTATGCAGACAATAATTTTGACGTCTTGTGTAAGAAAGAAGAGACATTCAGAACAAAATAACTATAATAATTAAAGAGACGCTGATGTGTATGTATTTTTTTCTTCTTTTTATTTTTTAGCTCAAATAACACGCGAGAAATGCTTATTTTTGCAACTTATAATTCAACGTTCATGTTCGACATTTTGCTCAAAATGAATTGTCTTAACTATTGTCAGGACGCCTACCCCACGGAGACAATTATCAGCGTTTTTGAAAACTAATACTAAAAATTATTGTCTTGAAAGCATTGTCCAATGTAAAAACGCCGTTAGATATCTGTAAATACATATTTGATTCTTCGCCACGTATGTTTGTGAGTGAACTCCTCCTAAACGCCCGAAACGGTTTTAATGATTTTTTTTTTTATGTTTGAGTGATAAGTTAGGTTCCCAACTTAAGACGCCAGGTGGCGCTGGAGTCAAGTTATTACTAAAAATCGTATTTGTTGAATTTTTCGGCTTTTCCGGTCCCGGGATTTTCGGGGTGTCGCTATCACAATCCGGGGATCCCGGGATTGGTAATAATAATACATTGGCGCTTACACATATGTTAGTTTTTGGCCGAGCTTCTCCTCCGACTTGTGGCGTGCGCCTTGATGTTGTCACACAAAGCGGAGGGACCTACAGTTTTACGCCGACTCCGAACGGCGATTGTATTTTAATGAGAAGCTGTTTTTCATGGCAGAAATACACTCGGAGGTTTGCCATTGGCTGGCGAGGGACGACCGCTGTTTAGAAAAAAACCTTTTTTCTATATTTTTTTGGGATGTTGCTTTGACCAGGGCTTGAACCCAGGTGTTGATGAGTGAAAGCGCGCACTGCTTACCACTACACCACAGCGGCCGACAGATTTAGATATTCATTAATTTTCAATGATATGATTAATTCCAAAAATTATTTAAAAAATTCAATGCAATGTAGAATAAAAATATGATTTATTTTGGAACGAATTTCCGTCATGCCTTGTCAAGTTTGGTTTTCAGACAAACGGATTTCGGCGTTGTGCCATCTTCAGTGTAATTTTTCGTTCGGCTTGTCTGCAAACCAAACTTGACAAGGGATGACGGAAATTCGTTCCAAAATAAATCATCTTACCACCCTGTCGGAAAAATCAACCAACACCAACACACAATAAAAATATGGGTACCAAATGCAAGAGGAAATTTCTTTAGAATTTAAAAAAAAAATTTTGGATTCACAAAGACGAATAGGTAATATTTTTAGCTGATAAAGTTAGAAGGACGAAATTCGAAGATGTTATCGAGTTTATATAAGTCCTTAACATATAATTTTTTCAAAAACAATTCTTGCCAAATATCAAGGATAAAATTTTAAAATATTTCATTACTTACCAATCCTTCTGCACCAAAAACTTGAGTCTGTTTAAATTTTACAGGATTTCCTCTTTAATTTGATACCCATACTTTTTCTCTAAGCACATTTCTCTGAATTTTTTAAAATCATTTTGGAATTACTGACGTCAGAGTGAAAAACTAAAAACGCAATTTTACTATATTTGGCGCATGATTTCGCGAACATATTGATTTTTGTGTTTAAAATTTACTATCGCGCGATGTTATATGTACAATGAGCTAGTCATTTATAAAAAAAAAAAGAATTATCTAATAAAAAAAAGATATATAGCCAATACTGGTCAAGAAAAGATGTTTCTATTATTGCCATCAGTTAAATTACAAATCCCGAATACGCCGGGACTATTTGCCAAGAATCTCAGGATTTTTGGAACCCTAAAAAGGCCGGGATCTCGGTATCTAGGGATTAACATTCCTAGTTCATATTCGAAATATATATTGGAAACGGTAAGGGCAATATCTACTATTGCAAAAAAAGATCTGCAAGGTGGCGCTGGAGTCGAGTTATTGGTAAAAATTGTCAAGTGAAGTTATTCGGAGACACCAACGGTCTAAGTCAAATTACCACCGTTAAATCAACCACTTGAACCATTGCGTTCCTTGCTATACGGCGACTAACAGCTCTATTCTACGCTGGTAGTACAAATTTTGTAACTGGTAAATAAAGTTCCTATCAATTTTTAAACCCTCTCCGCATTATGTGTACTCTTGTAACCGGTAAATTTTGGTACCAACTCATAAGCTGGTGACAAAGTATTACCCCGTGAAATATGCAAAGCCAGAATTTCTCCAATTCTTCATAGCTGAATTGCTCAATATTTTAACTGCATCACCAACGTACCTAGAATCGCGGTGACAAGAACTGATAAAATCTGTTGGTAATTAAATTTTCGGGTTACAAAATCTTCGGTAACGTGCAGAATAGACCTGTAAACAGAATTAAGACAATTCTTGATAAATTCCTACAAATTCAATTGTAAGAAATTTAAGGTATTTCGTCTGAAATAAGTCTATATATGTATATTGGATTTCTGTGGACCAATGATACTCCCCCACTTTGGAATTGCCACCAACTGCTCTATACAGATTCAAGGACGATTCACCGTCGAACCGGATCATTGTTACCACAATAACTTATACGCGGACATAACGCTCTCACTCGGTTATTTAAGATAGCAATCGAGGATATTTGCCTTCTGATGACCACAAAACAATACGTGAACGTGAATTGTTGGTGAAAACCTTGTACCAAATGTTTAAAAAAAAAATTAATTTTGGGTGGGACGAAGTCCGCCGGGTCTGCTAGTAAGATCACAAATTGAATTCCCAAGAGAAAGACGATAGTTTCTAAATGCCTTCCTTAATATATTAATTAACATGCACATTCATAAAAAGGATATTTTTGCTTTTTTAAGATATATGCTTTTTCTAAGTTATATTAAACGAATAGGCAACCGAAAGGGGGGCAGAAGGAGGTATAACTTAACCACGTCAATATTTCACAGAGCATACCTTACAAATAGGCTTTCAACAAAAATTTTTTTTGGCAAAACATAAACTTAATACAATACGACAAAAATACAAATACACACCTGGCAATTCCGCCCACGCCTTCAGATCGGCACTACGCACATAAGTCGCATCAGCGGCCTCAGCGCATAACGTTTGTAGGTGACGTGTTATTGGCAATGAACGATTTAGATGAACCCACGATGTCATCGTAAACGTTTCTCGTCCCTTATCTTCCTCCGGTGTACGTATTGTACTGGGATTCTTTTGACGCAATTTCGCCATTGCATCGGATGAAATGAAATCGCCTTTATTGAATTTCGTCACAAAACACATGACCTGATATTGACTTTGGCCACGTTCCTCTTCGCCCAGCACGAGTGCTTTGACGATTTTGACTTCCTGTAAGAGGGATGGTAGACAGAGAAAAAAATATAAAATGTGACACTACCCATGCAAGAAGAACTAAATAACTAAGTAATATTTAATTCAGTGTAAAATTTGTGCCAATACTTACATTTCGAAAATCAATGACTTGTGTGATAAGCGTGCCATCCGTTTTTTGAAATTCTAAAGTAATTAAGTCCTCGCTGACATTGGAGGTGATGCTTTCTTGTATGACCTCACCACCCTTTTGTTGGTAAAGAAAGATAAAAAGAAAAATACAAGCAATTATTAAAATGAGGAAAATTAAGAAAATCAAAAATTTTAATAGTTACGAATATTGTTGAGAGATAAACTTAGATTTAAGAAAAAACCGTACATGGCAAATTGTTATAGTTTTTAAAACGATTTCAAAAAAATTATGAGGTTAAACATTCATCGGAATATTTTTCGAAACAGTTTCTATGTTGATATATATTTGAATTTCATCATTGCATGATTTTTATTTTTACGTATCGGTATTATTTCGAAATTTTTTGGACTTGGTCGGAATACTTGGCGTGGTCTTTCGGATTTTTCGCATTTTTTTAAAGGGTCTTTAAGGACTTTTTGACAATTTTACTTGATTTTTCGGGATCATTCGGGATTGTTCGGGACTATCCAGAATTGTGAGACTTTTTTGTTTTTACGAGTTTTTTAACCATTCTTGTTTTTTCTTCGCTTCTTTGACATTTTCAAAAAACAATCAGTTTTTTTTTTGCTGTAAATGCTAAAAATAAATGAAAAATTGTTTGCTTTTTGTATAAAATGTATTCCCGGTAAGGATTTTGCATCATAGGACTGACTAAATTAACCACTCAATTCTAACTCCGTCGTCAATCAATCGAGTTTTTCAGAACCAACACAATTTGGCGCACTTTAATTTTCAAATAAGTAATTCCCTTAACTCAAGTTGAATTTGATGTTTTAAACAGGTGGCAACCCTTCTCCATATGTGTGGAATCTAAATACCAAGTTCCAGTGCTCTATCATAAAAATTTCCTGCGATTTGCAGTATGAAAAATTCAGTTTGTATGGGAGGTGCCACGCCCCCTTATACAATCGAGATTAAATCTATGCTATAATTTAAGTTCGGCTAAATGACATCAGTGTACAAAATCTCATGATGATCGGTTAAGTAGTTAAAGCGCGAAAGCGTAACAAATAAACAAACACACTTTCGAATTTATAATATTATAAATAAATAAATAGTAAGGATATATTTCGTTACTTATGTAATTTCATTTTAAAGATATTATACTCACTTGATTGAAATTTTATATATTATATTTAATAAAACGACTTCATTTTTATTGCACTTTATTCAATTTTTGCTTTAACCAAAAAACTCGACAGGTCAGCACGACCATACTCATCGAGGAGCCATTTGCAACTGCATTTCCCTTAAAGAGTTCTGAAAACTACAAGTTGCTAGACTTAACATATGTATATGCTAAGTACATACTTATGCATGTACGCGAACACAAGTAAGAACAGCCATAAACTGCAGTGTATATTTCTTGCTGATCTTTTTCAACGGCGAGTGAAGTTAATTCCTAAAAATATATCCATAACTTTTATCAAGTGTTGTGGTGTGTAGACGACTTGAAACAAAGGCGATCGACGAAATGTATTTTTTTTCACAGCACAGTAAACATTAAAAGTACGGCTGTGCGTGGCATACGGGTCGGTCGGCCTGCTTTAACGACTGAATTTCGCCGCGATAGCATGGTACGGTGCCGATAACAAAAAGTTGTGTGAGTAAAAATTTAATAAAAATTCACTTATTTCTACGAGACTAAAAATTTCGAAGGGCAATACAGTAAAACCCGCCAAGTACCTCACGAAAAAATTTCAGCTTTTTGAGGTACTTACGACGGGTTAGGTACTTAAAAGAACCCGCTTAAGTACCTCGATGCGGGAACATAATTATTGATGTAGTTAATCTTCTTGTTAACTAACATAAATAAGTCCTTGAATAAAACATGAACATTTAAAATGAAGTTTACGTAGTTTAAAACAAAGATCGTAGCATTACTTAAACACATAAACACAACCTTTATAAAAAAAATCGATAAAGCAATGTTATGTAAATTTTACAAGAATTAAATTCTTTAAAGTCATTGATACATACAGTGTTGGTTATATCTATCATTTCGAACCACATTCAAAATGATGTTTGCCACTTATGCTTGTTTAGTAATTTTTAATATTTCTCAATTAAAACACAGTTCATTCCCTAACCAATACCATATAAACCCAAGCTTAACATTTTTTAGAACAGTGAAAACAAATTCATCAAAATTTCAAACTTTTCTTATAAGTGGTTCATAGCTCATTCAATTTTATTACATTATTAGCAAGTTTCAAGTGGCTAAAAATTACCGTTGATTTTTTTTTTTGCCGAACGTGTTGTGGGAGCACTTAAAAGGGAAAAATTATAAGTAAAATGTTAAATGGGGTACGAAAGATTTAGGTACTTAGGCGGGTGAGTTTCACTGTAATAACAGTTCGACTCATAATGAAACATAAATAAAAATGCATATCTTCTCACAATGTGTGGTTTTGAGTATGAACCCCCAGTCAAGAGCAGTGGAGGTTCTAGTTTAGCTATATGCATGAGTTCACACCCAGAAGATAATTTAGTTAGGCCTTCTTAAGTAAAGCCATTCTATGAGGCCTACTCAAGAAGGACTGAAAAAAGTGCATCCTTGCATGAAGGGCTAGATAGAAGGGCTTATCCATTTACAATTTACGCGAATGCATAAATGTTTATTATTTAGTATTAGACAGGGCTTCAGAGCGGAGCGGAGCAAAGGAGGATGGAGCTAAGGGGCAAAGGATTTTAGCTGGAGCTGAGCTGGAGCCAAGAGCTAAGAAATTAATTTCCTCCTTAGCTCCTTAAATTTTCAATATTTTGTTGTTATTTGCTGGCCTATAAGTAGTTCTTTTGAAATATATTTATTGTGGTTTTTCCACAAAAATTTTCAATAACAACGTCTTCAAGCTCAATAAGAACTAGAGCGGAGCGAAAAAAAAAAACTTAGCTCCGAAGCCCTGGTATTACAAATGAATTTCAATAGACATTTCAAGTTGCAGTAACACATATTTGATATAAACGTTAAGCAAATACTTAAAAGATGTATGATTTTTATAAATTAAAGAAGCAACTTTAAAAGAACTCCTCCAAAAGGCCTTCTGAAGTGCGCCCTATAAAAACCCTTCTGGAAGGCCATCCATGGGTAGCGAAAGAAGAAACCCTTCAATTTGTGCCACTCCATGCAAAAAAGAAAAGAGAAAGGAATGTAAAGTGGAAGGCGTGTTCACTCCCAGGAAGGCCTTTCGGAAGGGCTTTTAACTTATGAAATTATCTACTGGGCACCTAGTACTTACCCGCTAAGTAAAGAACTATAACTTCAGTGAGCCACTTAGGTTGATGTCAGAGTGGAAGCGAGAAGCGATTTGCTGCTACATTCGCTTTTGAGTTCAGTGTGAACGATGGACTCCGTTGAAGAGTTTTTTTTTTATATTTTTTATTGACTATATTGTATCTAATTCGTTCTCAATGATAGGTTTTATTAGGCGCAAACCTCAAGAGTTCAAAGATTCAGTAACTTTAAAATACCTTTATATTATCTCTTTAGTAAGAAGCCATCTTGAATGCTGTTCTATTATATGGAGTCCATATTATGAAGTATACTCGATCAAAATAGAAAGAATTCAAAATATTTTCACCAAATTCACTATTCGCAAGTTGCCGCGGCAAGATTATGTTCCTCCCTTTATTGACAGACGTAAATTGCTGGGTCTCCAGTCTTTGCATGAAAGAAGAGATTACTTCTACATTGTATTCATTTATAAACTAATCAATGAGTACATGAATTGCGCTTATCTAACAAATTTGCTCATCTTATAAAATCCCCCGCGTAATTTAAGAAGCAATAGGCTATTGGTTGGTACACTGCATATCACGAATTATGCCAAAAATTAACCAATTGCTAGATGCATTGAATTGTGCAATACATATTCTAGTGTTATCGATTTTAACAAAAGTATTGATAGATTTAAAAGTAATTTATTCACAATATTCAACTAAAGTCTTTAGCTAGTCTGTAAGAAACTTAATCTGTAACTGATATTAAATAAATATATACTTATATTTTGATTGGTGTATTTAACATTTTTTATGCCAGAAGCATGAATGTGCAAACTTATCAGTTTTTAGTTATTGTGTTGACTTGATTAACCATTGGATGTTCTGTGTTATTCCAAAACCCAGAATACCATGCGTACACGGACACCACATATTTTACATTTGCAATTGCATAAATGTAGAGTTAACAGCCTTATTGTGTATCACCAACGATAGGCAACACGAACGATTCGTCTACAGAAGGATGCTTAAAAAATTAGTCCGGCGGCATCATTCTAGCCGGTTTAAACGTAACCGAGACTATTGTAACGTAGTCGATCAAAAGCAAGACGAAGACGACGGATAGAGTAATGAAAGCGCAATTAGAGACGTTGTCGTCTGCAGACAAATCGTTCGGTGAATAACCCGAAAATACTCGGGAGTAAAATTCGATAGTATGTTCTCCTTCTCTGCGCATGCAATCGCAATTGTCAACAAAGTACAGAGCCGCAGTGGATGAAGCTGTCGGCGACCCAAAACACAGCACTCCGCACAGCGACCAGATGTCTTTTGGGCAACGAAATGCATCTACATACAGCTAAGATCAAAGATTTAGCACTAAATTTGAAAATGTTGTTTGCAACTTACATATGTATGTACATATGTACCTATGTATGTATCAGGGTTGTTGCGAATATTCGCATTAATGCGGAGCTTTTGCGAATGCGAATATTTTGCAAGTGGACCGATAAAACGTATATATGGCAAAAAAAATTACATATTGCAGCCAATATTTTTGCCTGTGGTCGTAGGAGTATTTGTGTAACAAAACTGGTGCGTCTGACTCGTGAGTCGGTTTGGATGTGTTTGTGAAAATAAATATGTGTTAGTTACACCAACATGACTCCCGGCATGACTCTGAATGATTTAACTGTGTGTAGTGGAAGGCGAGTCAACAGGTACACAAATGACTCGCGAGTGAGACGTACCGCGTATGTAGGGTTGCCAGATTTTTTATGCGCGAAATCAGTACGTTAGACTTTTTCATGCTAAAACAAGTAAGAGCAGCGCTGTCT